ACTGCCAGAGCTAGGTTTTCCCAGTTGTAGCTTTCAAAACAGCTTCTCTAGTAGATCTCTTGGAGAATTTCACAAATACTTCACGAGGTAGCTTATTTTTCTTGATGAAATCTGAGTAAGTCCGATAAGTCATCCATATCATTTTGCAGCACTTCTTGTTTAAGTTCTGTCATTGATGCTAATGCTTCACTTAAAAGTTCTTTTAAATTTTCTCCTTTTTGTTCTGGAATGCCTCGAAAGTGCAAGACATACATTGATCTTTCCATTTGGAGCTGCAACAGTTTACCTTTATCTGAGATTCTCTCTTTTTCCACTTCTTCCAGTTTCTGTTTAATATCTTTTGTTTTTGTCTCAACTTTCTTAATGGCTTTCTCGGTATCATCTGCTCTTTTATCCATCCATGTCAATTGCTTTTGTACTCCATCCAGCTTGCTTGCTTCCTGTGTCTGGGAAGGAGTCATTGGTTGATTATTTCCTTTGAGAAGCTTCTTTTCCAGCACCATTCTTCTCCCTTTAACAGACATTGTTCACACAAGGAAAAAGTTTTTAAAGTTAAAATGAAAGTTCTTCAATTTGAAAATGCTTTGGACTATTTTGCACCTTTTGGTCTTGTTTGCTGTCTGTCACAGTCAGTTTTGCTTTTTTCCTCCCAGTTTATCATTCAGGAACCGTTTAACTTTGTGTGTGTGTGGGGAATCCTCAACTCCTTCCCCGCCCGCAGCTTATCTACATGGCTTTAATTTATTACATTCGTTGTGAGGCTAGGAGTGGGCAGGCACAATCCCGGTTTGTGTATGTCTGTGGCTTGCTCAGGTAGTAAGTTCTGCTGAATTAGATGGAACATGCTTCTAAGTAAGCGTGTGCAAGGTTACAACAGCTGGCAGGCTGCTTGTTAGTGAAGATTTCCGAGATCAGCATATCGGAAACGAGAGGGAGACTGAGGGTAGAGTGGAGGTATCTGTTGCTCGAAACTCTTATAGAAGGAAGGGTATTGTAGAGCTCTAAGCTTGTTGTTCCCCTAAGTGTAGAAAGAAACTTCATGTTCCAGTGTTACGGGCTGACCACGAAAGAAAGTTAGCAACATTGTGACAAGGAAGAATTTAGTTAAAGTGGAACAAAGTCTAGCAAGGATGGGTGCCTGAAAAGCCTCAAAATTTGATTATACTTTATAGACGGTTCCTTAGTTACGTTGTGCGGGACTTTGCTGAGTAAATGGGATTTGCTGGCATGTTACTACTAGCTTGCCTCTTTTTATCTTGGCTTAAAATATTTTCTGCTTGGAGTATTCTTTTCAGTTCTTTTTTTTTGCTGAAAAATTGCAAATCTAGAGCAGTTCTTGGGAAGAGGCACTTAGTAATGCTGCCCCAAGCACAGTGGTCAAAGGGGGAAAGAGAATTTCTTTCAAGGATATCCCACAACATCTGGCAAATAGAAATTCTGTGTTGCATGATGACCCTTTCCCCCCTCCTTTTATCTACTGAATACATTGAAAAGCATATGAAAAGCATAGGGACTCTGGGGCAAGTGATGCTCTGTCATCTTGGTGCTTGGGGGGGGGATCAACAGTGGGAGGGCTTCTAATGTCCTGGCCCCACTGGTGGACCTCCTGATAGCACTGGTATTTCTGGCCACTGTGTGATACAGAGTGTTGGACTGGATGGGCCTTTGGCCTGATCCAACATTGGCATCTCTTATGTTCTTATGTTCTTATGATTCTTCTCACATTGCCATCAGTGTATTCAAAATCTGATAAAAGTTCATTTAGAACCTCTTCTTCATTTTACATGTACAGTTTGCTGAAACTCACCTTTCTATTTTTCACATGGTCTTTGGTTTTAAGAGTTTTCACCTTTGCCATTAAAGGATTCTGCTTCTTCCCTCTGATTAAAATGCTGCCAAATCTCTCTCCTCAATTACCAGATCTAAATTAATATTCCTCTGAGACAAACAATTTGTATGCTTTTTATTACAAAAAAAAGTTCTGGTAAATAGGGGGGAAAGGCTCATAGGCTGAGTTATTCCATGACTTCCAGAACAGTTCTCTTTGTATTTGTCAGTACTGCTATGAAGAATCAGATATTCTCTCCTTCCGTGCACCCACAGCAGCTGTGAAAAAGGAACTGATGGTCTAGTTTTTCCAGTTAGTAGTGCTTATAATTTTTTTAAAAAATCAGTTGTGTTTGCATAGTTGGAAAACTGTGATTCTTCTCAATCCACAAAATAATATTATTGAGATGCTGTAATAAGCCTTGGTACATATGTCTGTTTAACTTAAGGCAGCTTAATTGACAGCATAGGTTTGAAACAACATATGATAATGTTAGAGAAATCTATAAACTCATATTTTCAGAAAGTTGCATAAGTAGCAGTCTCCATCCAATCACATTTGGAGAGAGGTGTGGTTCATGTGGAATACATTTTTCCAGCTTCCCGTAAGAATTACATGCCTAAGCACTTAATAAACATTTCTGTCCCATTGTAGTTGTGTAATTCTGGGAAACTGATATTGCTTTTAGTGTTGAAAGTCTGTTGCATTAAAGTGCTGCATTTAACATTTTCCTTCAGAAATCACAAGTTTAGTGATCTTTGCAGAAAAATCAAACTATCTAATGGTTATAGATTCTGACATGGAACAGGATTTTATCAATTGGCAGGATTGCTTATTAGAAGAAGAGTAGGTTTTTATACCCCATTTTTCTCCACCTCACGGAGTCTCAAAGTAGCTTAAAATCCCATTCCCTTCCTCTCCTCAGATCAGGCACCTTGTGAAGTAGGTGGGGCTGTGAGAGTTCTAAGATAACTGTGACTGGCCCAAGGTCACTCAATGGGGAGGAGTGGGGAATTCTCCAGTTCTCCAGATTAGAGTCTGTTGCTCTTAGGGTTGCCAAATGTGCCCAGGGGGTGGGGAATCCCCCACTTTGGAGCCCCGATTTCCGCCCCAGCGGAATCGGGGCCCGGGGGGAACCCTGCCCCCGAAGCTGCATCACCGGAGGTGACGCAGCCACATTGCTGACGTTGGGGGCATGGCTGAGCTCATCGGGGGGGGGGGGAAACCATATGTTTCCCCCCGACGAGCTCGGCTACGCCCCCACAGCCGCGCATGTCTCTCCCGGTCAGAACGGAGCCTCCCCCGCCGGTAAGATTTCAAGAGTTGGCAACCCTAGTTGCTCTTAACCATTACATTACACTGGTTTATTAAGAAAGGAGCTTCTGTGTACAATAAATGTATGTCTGGGTTTTTAAAATCCCCCATTTGTAAGTAGTTTACTTCAAATAGAAACAAATATGCCTGAAGATGCACTAGATCTGATCTTTGAAAAATACCACCTTTTGTTGGGCCAAGATGCCACACAGAAATGTGTTGATTTCTTGCAGAGTAATTTCACATCAACAGAGAAAAAGGAACACACTTGGATAAAATATGGTTGGTGTTTTTTGTTGGTACCTTGAACCCAGAGTGGGATGGTGTAATAAATTTTTGGAACTCTGAGATTTGGTCATAATCTCTAGATATGGGCATAATTCAGAAGTCCTCAGTAGGATAATAAAGTCCAAGTCTTGCCAATGAGGTTTGAACCTTCATGGCTAAAAGAAGCTATGCAGAGGACTTCGGTGAGTGTGTGGGTTGGTACAGGGTGAGGTGATCATTTGTGTTTGTATCTTCATTTACACTGTGTGTGATTTGCCGCTGACAAGTGTACACTTGTACTGGATTATTGTCCTATTGCAGGTATTGTTAGAAGCCCAAAAAGAACTGGTGGGTTATAAAGGCCTTGGCATAAGTGTCCTTGGTAAGTTTACTTGGTTGGTTTTATTACTACCTCTAGAAGTCCTTTTGATCTTTAATTATATTTTTTAATGATTGGAACAAAGAATAGCTACATATTTCAGTCAAGGTAACATATATTTCCAGCGTTATCTAGAAGGTGTCATTCTGAACATTGTCACTGTTAATCACGTTTTTATTTCCCTCTTCCATGGTCAGCATAGATGGGGGTCTTCTCATTTTATCTTCTGAGCAACCCTGTCAGGTAAATTAGACAAAGATTGTTACTGGTCCAAGGTCATTCTTTGAGCAGGGGTTTAAATCTGGATCGTTCTGCTCCAAATGGAACAATCTAACTCCTATATCATATTGTTTTTTGCTGTTCACTTCTCACTTCTCTTATAAAACAAATGGTGCATCTAGCTACTTTTGCCATTTCTGCAAAAATGCTGTAACAGACTGAAGAAGAAACCATCGCTGATCCAGCAGTTTCCTAGTGGTTGCGGGAGTTTTGATGCACATACAGAACTCCCCTGCCTACAAAGGATGCCCACTTCATCTGGAGTCAACAGATCCATGTGCACAGTTTTTGCACCTACAGATCTGCTCTTTTCATTGCTCACAGGGATGTATGTTGGGATGTGGAGCAAGGCTCAAGTATACAGATCTCCAAGCAAGCCAGAATTGCTTGAGGCATTACTCTGGGCAAAAGTGAATTTTGCCAGTGATAATCTTCTCTTATGGCCCAAATATTGAGAGCCAGCATGGTGTAGCAGTTGGAATGTCAGGCTGGGATCTGGGACAGCCAGATTCAAATCTTTACTCTGCTATGGAAGCATGCTAGGTGACCTTGAGCCAGTCACTCTTTTTCAGCGGATCCTATCCTGTAGGGTTGTTGTTGTGAGGATAAATTGGAGGAGGCTTGATGTGAGCTGCTTTGGGTCCTCATTGGGAGAAGCTGCATATAAATATCTAAGTAAATATTAAGGCAGGAGGAGAAGAATGCACTTTACCAGAGTTTGGCAAGCCAATTGCCATGGTATGTTCAGTTTATGTCATTTCAGAAATAAAAGAGAATTTGTTTTTCTTTTCTGAGTCATCTAATTGTATGGATGAGATGGGTTGTATTATAAGTTTCTTCTAGGCCCAGAGGAATGCTGATTTAGCTGTGACCCTGCTTTCTGACTCTCCACAGGCTGACTTTAACATATTTAAAAGTTTATCATGTCATCTCTGGTAATTTGAAAGCTGTCTGAAGAAAAATAAGTAAAAATTTGAAGTTTTATAAAACTAAGCTTTTTTCAGTGATATGATTTATGTTACATTATTTCTTCCTCAAAGAAATGAGCCACAGGACTTCTGATGTTTCAAAAATAATCAGAAAAGCAGAAAACCTCTTGCGTGAACTTCTGTGAATTATGTAATTCTGAATTGAGTTAAAATTATGAATTTTGGTCATTTTTCATGTTTGTGGGGATATTGATCTTGAAATGTAAATTTAAAACAATTCCTGTGTTAGTGTGTTGCAACAAAAATAAATAGGAGTCTTGTGGAATCATAAGGCTCACAAAAATTATTTCAGACTAAGACTATTTACAAAATTTATATTTCGCCTTTCAGCTCTTGCCAAGGCAAGTTGATGTAGACTAGAGACTACTTATTTAGATGCTAAGAATAGTTTACGCTAATTTGCTGAAGTTTAAGGTTAAGTGTGTGGACTCTAATCTGGGAGAATCAGGTTTGATTCCCCACGCCTCCACTTGCAGCTGCTGGATGACCTTAGGCAAGCCATAGTTCTATCAGAGCTGTTCTCTCAAGGACAGTCTGAAAAGAACTATCTCATCTCCACTTACCTCACAGAGTGTCTGTTGTGGGGAGGGAAAGGGAATGGAGTTTGTAAGGTGCTTTAAGACTCCGAGTGAAGGGTGGGGTATAAATCCAATCTCTTCTTCTTCTTCTTTTATAGAAGTGGAAATGACTGAACACTTTATTGAGAGAATATACCTGAAAACTACAAAGTGATTTTCCTCCCAGGAGGTGCACAGAAATATACCTGACAACTACAAAGTGATTTTCCTCCAAGGAGGTGGATCCGGACAATTTAGTGGTATCCCTCTTAATCTTATTGGATTAAAAGAAGCAAGGATTGCTGATTATGTGGTTACTGGAGGCTGGTCAGCTATAGCTGCTAAGGAAGCAGAGAAATATTCCAAGGTGAACCTTGTTCATCCTTGTCAGGAACTTTAGGCAGGTAATCCACACACCCAGGCTCCTTCAGAAGATAAGTGTTTATTATGGTAATGCAGAACTAAAGTACATGTATACAGCCTGTATTAAGAATGACCTGTAATAAGATGGCTACTAATTTATAGAATATTCAATCAGCCCCCCCCCCCACCTGCAAAGCCAATGAAGTTTTCTCGCGCGTGCTGGCCTTGCACCTAAAGCAGTTACAGTTCCCAGGCCTGGGGAATTACAGAAAAACATCTTCAAGGCAGATAGTGGAGCGCTAGGCAGAAAAGCGCTGAGAACGGGAGGGAAATAATATTCCCCCTCACAATCCAACACCATGACAGGGTACCTGACAATCCCAAACTTTCTACTTATACAAGCAAGATCACTTTAGATTCTGCATAGGTGAAAAATACATTGTCCTACATGTTAGTATTGTTTATTTTATTTAATTCTCATGTCTCATTGTTATATATAATAAATGGAAAAAATGAATTTGTAAGCATGGTAGAAACAACAATAAATCCTGAGTTTATGAACACAAACATGAAGCTGTCTTATACAGAATCAGACCATTAAGGTCAGTACTGTATATTCAGGTTGGGAACAGCTCTCTAGGGTCTCAGATGGAGGTCTTTCACATTATCTACTGTCTAGTCATATAACTGGAGATGCCAGGGATAGAATCAGTGATATTCTGTATGCAAAACAGAGGCTCTTCTACTGAGCCACAGCTCTTCCACAATATTCAAGCACTATAAGCAGGAACAGTTCTTCCAGCTTCATATTGCTGTACTAAATAGCAGTTTGCTATTATAATTTGGACACTGCATTATCTGCTGGGCTAGGTATTGTGATTCCACAAGAAACATCTCTTTAACACTTGGGGAAAATGTGAGTAATTTTCTTGGATATTTTAAAAGGTGTTTTGAAAAGGATCCAACACAAAATCATGTCATGAAACAAGCTCACCATGGTAAGCATTGGATTGCTCAGTGAGTCTCTTGGACATGTGACTCCTGTTAAATAGTTTTATCTCAAGGCCTAACCAGATATGCTCTAGGAAGTTCCATATCTGGTGCTTCCAACAGTTTAATTTTTAAATTTCTGTGGGAGAGAGTAACTGAAAGGCAAGTAACAATAAGGACAAAATAAATGTATCATAAAAGTGATGGGAAAGAGGGCTAGAATCCTGCACTAGGAATATTTAGAATTTTCTTTAAATCCCCATTAGACTCTGATTCCTATTACAACAGGCTCCTTCTTTCAGCTGCTAGGCTTTCTCCCCTTATGTCTGATTATGAGCTTCAGGAAATCTGGCAACCGTAATACTGTTAAATTTGTTTACATGTACTAATTTAAACTATAAGATTTATGTACTCAACATAGCAAATTATAAGATAATTTACTAGAGGCTAATTTTGTAAGCACTGTGTATGACCACCATCTCTTGGGTTTTTAGTGGTTTACTTTACTTTTACCTGCAGTTTGTAGTATACCCTCCCTTGTTTCTTTGTAGTTTATAAAAAATGAAATTAAAAAATCCCCTACGGGGGGGGGCAATTTTTTTTGTTTACATGTAAACAGAGACCCAGTTTTAAGAGTTCTTATAGGTCCCATGAATTACAAGTTCTGGGCTGTCCTGTCCTTGATTGCATGTGGTGTGAAGGGTGGCTTCAAGTGTTTTTGTCAAGTATGGACAGAGAATTCTCCTGCTTCTGGAATAAAATGCTATGTAGTAACCTGTGCATCTTCCCCAAGATGAGAGGTGTGAATTCCTAATTCATGTGGAGTTCATTAATCTCACCATGAGGACGATGGATGGGATGGGTGGCTGCTACACATTATACAACCATCACTGGCAGTTGATTTGGTCAGCTTCACACACCAGATTACCATGACTCTAAGACAATAACAGCAGTAATGTTTGAATGTGCGTTGTGAAGGCTGGGGTGATGTCACATAAATACAGAAAATGAAAGCATGAGAAAGGTAAGTGTGCCTTGAAAATCACTTAAGTACCTCATTTATTATAGCAAATTATTATCTGTTTCTGCGTGTTGAAGACAGTAGACATTATCCTTTTGATTTAGGAGATTCTGCCTCTCCCAGAAGGAGCCGTGGCTTATCGTATTCACCCAAAGGGAAGATGACCTTTCCCCCCTCCCTTTTTGGGCTTTGCAAAAAAGGGAAGGTTGTTTTCCAATTACGAATATGGTGTGTATATGTGTGTGGGGTCCTCCTCTCTTACTTTGAGGCTTCTCACACCAGCGAGGTGTGAGAGCAAAGAGAGGAGCATGCCTCCTACCAGCTGTTGCAGGGACAGAAGGAAACCCCCCCTTTGCACCAGCAGACTTGTCAGGTTGCTGGCAGTCCAGGAAGTTAGCTGCTGCTGAGGGGCAGCCCAATCCTCTTTCTGCTCCTGCACCTTTGTCAGAAGGTATGGTGTAATGTGGAGAGCAGGATTATCTTGAATTCAGTATTATCCTTCCTTCCTGTAGCTTTCTCTTTTTTTGTATTTTATAAGTGTGTGTGTGTGTGTGCATGCACGTGGAAGCAACCTCTGGTGACTGACCCCTACTGGGGGGCCTGGAGGATATTTGGAGAGGTGGCTGAATAAAGCCTGCCCCTGCCTCTTGACTGCTGGTATTCCAAGGAGGTCTCCCATCCAAGTACTTGCCAGAGTTGACCCTGCTTAGCTTCTGAGATCTGACAAGATTGGGCTTGCCTGGGCTATCCAAGTCAGGGCAGCTTTCTCTTTGTTTTGGTGGGGGGAAGTGTCTTACATTAGAGATCATCCTCCTTTTGAGATAGCATGGCATCTGCCACAGAGCTTGCAAGGCCCTCAGGGTAGCTAGAAGCTTAGTCCCCAATTGTTAGGAATTTTTGTTTTTTTGGGTGAATATAGTGCTTTCTGTTGTTAGTATTGCAAACTTTCCTTCTAGAGCAATGCAAGAACCAATGAACTTTGTTGGCAAAGTAGTGGAAATATGTTGAGCTGAGTCATAGTTTGAAGTTCACCGTGTAAAGGAAAGCATGTATTATCACAATTAAACTGCTGAATTGAGAATTTGCCCTTGTTTCTGTGTCTTCTTACCTGGTTTAGAAGTCCCTGACCCAAGCACTTGGAACCTTAACCCAGATGCCTCATACGTTTATTACTGCGCAAATGAGACTGTTCATGGTGTGGAGTTTGATTTTGTACCTGATGTTGGAAAGGCAGTCCTAGTTTGTGACATGTCATCAAACTTCCTTTCCAGGCCAGTGGATGTTTCTAAGGTAACATTCTTAGAAGATTGATTCTGCAGGGTGTAACTTAACATCTTAGTCTTGGGGTCAAGAAGGGAATTTTTGTGCAGATAGATAGGATATATTTAGACTGCAAACCTAGATTGTTTTTATATTGCTATAATTTTATGACTTCCATCAAAGAATCGTGCAGACTTTAGTTTGGTAAGAATTTTATGTTAGAAGAATTTTATGTTAGAAGCCCCTGTTATATTAGCATTCCTTATATTCTGGTCTTTTATTCTGTCCCTCTTGACTCGTGTGTATATTTACATCTTAAACCTTAAGGCAGGGACTTGTCTGAAAAAGAGAATTTGAAGAACTCTGAAAAATGCTTAGTTACTTTTTAAGTGAATACAAATTACTATGGTCTCTAGGCTGCCACTGAGGACTATAGTTCCAAGGTTTCACTGGACGGATAACAACTGTTATACCAGTTCAAGTCTGTGGTGTGGAAAGGCCTACAAGATTAACACTCTGTTTGGAATACGCACCCTAACTTGAGGATGAATTTGAGATTTTTAAAATCACTTTCTTATGTATGTGTTGTAAGCCAAACTGATGTCCATTATTCATGATCTTCTGAAGGCTTACATAGAGAAACACTAATACGTGGAAATTCTAGCTACAGTGTACAAAGGACTTAATTTATTTAATATTTCTTCTCTTCTCTTTTTAAAAATTTGGTGTAATTTTTGCTGATGTCCAGAAGAATATAGGCTCTGCTGGAGTCACGGCTGTTATAGTGCAGGACGACTTACTTGGCTTTGTACTCAAAGAGTGCCCTATAGTGTTAGACTGCAAAGTAGAGTCAGAGAATGGCTCATTATACAACACTCCTCCATGCTTCAGGTAATTTTGGAAAATACAATATCCTGCTAGTTGTTTACATATTGTTTGCTATGTAAAGCTGCTTCAGAAAATATGCATTTGCCTTCTGATAGGTCAGTAACAAAAAGGAGCATGGAGTCAATCTTGCTATGTTCGGGAGAAGTTTTATAACAGAATCCTATCATTTAAATAGCTCTTTGCATGTTGCTAGTACCATAGTGTAGTATCATGCTGATCCAGTTGCATAACCAAATTATTCTGGGTATAGATTGGCATGGTGTAAGAATGTAGTGTAGCAGAACTGATTTTCAGCTCCAGCAAATGATTTAGTACTGCTTATCCTGGGTCTGTGGAAAAATCTAAATTAACTAACCCACGTGAAGAATTTTTTTTCTCTGTCCGTGGTTTCACAATCCTTTCCATGGTTTAGATGCCTCCCTTCAGTTAAAAATTTTGTGTTGACTCTCTGCAGATTGATTTTTGTACTGCGATGATCTTGGGAAATGGCAACAATGCCCTTTTCCTCCTAACAATTGTCCACCTTGAGTCTTCAAGGTGTACAATGGATAAATAAAAATTAGTAAGTATCAGTGCAGCATTGTAGTTACAAAACAGGAAATCCCGTAAAAGTTGTGTTAGCAGACTCAATCCAAATTGCTAGCATTAGTGAAATTTTGCTTTACTGGAGGGTCATTAGGTCATGCGAAAGCTGAACAATGGTGTGCACTCTGAATTCCATAGTACATTTACATTATATGAACAGAAAACTGAATTTTTGTAAGTGGTTTCTCAGGGCTATTACAACTCTTTTATAACAGTATAAGGAATATATAAAATAAGTGTTTCATTTTGGTAGGGTTTGCTGTTTGTGAATATTTTCTCTAGAAGTCATCTTTCTTAATAAAAAAATAAACATTTTTTTAAAAATTAAATCTTTTTATCTTGCCTCTAAGGGCAGGAAGAACCTTCTCAAATCCAGGGCTTCAGACACATATTTGGTACTTACCTTCAGTTACATATTTATTTAGAAAATTTTTACACTGTCTCTCCAGGAACCTGCCTGAGGTAGCTTACAAAATAATAAAAATAAAACATTAGAAGACACTAATTCAAATACAGCATTAAAAATCTAGTCCAGCATAAAAACATAGACCACTAACAAAATAACTGTTTCCAGACTAAAATAGTATTTGATTTTGTAATATGGTGTTTAGCATGTATAATGGGCTGGGCTTTCCCACCCCATAAAAAGGTAAAGGTTTCCCTTGCTAGAAAGCCAGTCGAATCCAACTCTAGGGGGTGATGCTAATTTCTGTTTCCAAGCCGAAGAGCCAGCGCTGTCTGAAGATGTTTCCATGGTCATGTGGCCGGCATGACTAAATGCCAAGGTGCACAGAATGCTGTTACCTTCCCACCACAGCGGTACCTATTTATCTACTTGCAATTTCTTGCTTTCCAACTGCTAGGTTGGCGCTGGGGCCAGAGACGGGAGCTCACTCCATCACACGACACTAGGATCTTGACCTGCTGATCTACAGACCTTCCAGTCTACAGCTCAGTGTCTTAACCTCTGAGCCACTGTGGCCCCTCCCCCCCATACTATCTTATAAATCTGTTATTTATTTATTGGATTTGGCAAAAGCCACTGATTCCATATTGGACATGTTCTTGAATGTGCCAAGCCTTTAATCTAAAGCCATTCATTTTGGGCGATTTCGCACTAGAGCTGCCTCGCGGCGCAGCACTGTTTGCCCCGACACAAACATGTTAATTTCACACCCGAGGCTGCGGGGCTGCATTTTGACCCACGGCTTTGCCCGATTTCCTCCGCAGTTTCGTGATCCTCAAAAACCAGGATCACAAAACTGTGGAGGAAATCGGGCAAAGCCGTGAGTACCAGGATCACGAAACTGTGGAGGAAATAGGGCAAAGCCGTGAGTCAAAATGCAGCCCTGCAGCCTTGGGTGTGAAATTAACATATTTGTGTTGGGGCAAACGGCGGCTGTGCCGTGAGGCAGCTCTAGTGCGAAATCGCCCTTTGTTTCCCCAAGCATTTGAGAATGCAGCAAGTCCAACCCTATGCAACATGGCAGTGACAGAAGCCGAGAATTTATTTACTAATTAAGATGTTTATATGCTGCCTTTTTCCAGGACTGAGTAGGCTAACAAGTTGATAGCAGGCACAAATCACAGTAACATTCCAAGTAGAGACAGTTCTAAAAACAATAGAAAACACACTTCTTCCCTACCACTCCCCCCCCCCAATTTAAACAATGTATTTTTATTTAGAATATTTATACAATTTATAGAATATTTATACAATTTATAGAATATTTTTTCTTCCAGGGCCCCCCCCAAAGCACCTTGTAACATCATTCTCTCCTTCTCCATTTTATCCACTTAATGTGAACATTGTGAATGATTGATTGTAATAATAGCATCCTTGGATGGTTCTGTGGAGAGGGAAATCTTGGTAGAGAAAAGATTTCTTAGGAAACAAGTTATAGCAAACAGCCAATTTTTGTCCATTTCAAGCTAGTTGTATTTCCTCTGTCCATGTTGTGGTCCCAAAATTTATCCTGAAAAAAGGTCACAGCATGCCTTAAAAGACAAAACAAAATGTGAACAGAGTGGTATGCCTCCTACCAAAAAGAATAAATGGACTTAAAATCAAATTAGATGTTAACAAGTGGGAACCTTCAAGGACTTGGCAGGAGGCATCTAATTTCCCCTTTCTCCACTATTTCCTCTCCCTTTCCAGAAAGGCTCCATAGCCTCTCCCCTTTTCCTACTCCCTTCTCTCCGAGTTTTACCAACCTCCAGGTGTGGCCTGGGGATCTCCTGGAATCACAACAGATCTCTGACCTACAGAGGTCAGTTCCCCCATAGGGCTGCCATCTTCAGGTCAAGAAATTCCTGGAGATTCGGGATGAAGCCTTGGGAGGGTGAGGTTTGGGGAGGGCCCTCTGCAGGGTATAATGCCATAGAGTCCACCCTTCAAACCAGCCATTTTCTGGAGAGCAGTTGTAATTCTGGGTAATCTCCAGCTCCCACCTGGAGGTTGGTGACCCTCATTCCCTTAGAGAAAATGGCTGCTTTGTTGGGTGGACTCTATGGCATTATACCTCTCTGAGGTCCCTTCCCTCCTTGGACTCTACTCTCTCCAGCCTCCAACCCCCAAATTTGTTGGAATTTCATAAGCTGGAGTTGGCAACCCTATCTCTTTCCCACCAACAGTCAACCTACCTTTATCTGTTCCTCTATCTTAAGCTTTCCCTCTTACCTTGTCAGCCTCTACCTAGATAAACTGTGGCCCAGTTGTGTGGCCACTGGGCAGGAGCACTTGCATGGTAGGGATCCCCCAAGCACTAGGGTCGCCAGGTCTGGGTTGGAAAATACCTGGAGACTTTGGGGGTGGATCCAGGAGAGGACAGGGTTTGGGAAGGAGAGGGATCTCAGCATGGTACAATGCCATAGAATCCACCCTTCAAAGCAGCCATTTTCTCCAGGGGAGCTGATCTCTGTCAGCTGGAGATCAGTTGTAAAAGTGGGAGGTCTCCAGGCCCCACCAGGAGGCTGGCAACTCTAACATGTATGCATGGGGGGCACCTCACTTTCCCCTGTATTCCCCTTCCCACACTATTTCTTCTTTCCCCTCCTCTTATTTCCCTCCTCCTGGCAACTTCCATATCCTCTCCCCTTTCCCTTGCTCATTCTCTCCTCAGCCATTCATCAACCTACAGTTCACCTGTCTCCTGTCTTCAGCTGTATTTATTATTTATTTACCTCATTTATACCCTGGCATTCTCCACAGTGGGGACCAAAGCAGCTTACATTATTATCCTCTCTCCTTTTTTATCAGAACAACAACCCTGTGAGGTAGATTTGGCTGAAAGTATGTGACTGGTCTAAAATCACTCAATGAGTTTCCGCAGCAAGATGGGGTTTCAGACCAGGGTCTCCCAGACCCTGCTCTGAAGCTCTAAATGCTACACTACATTGGCTTTCCTAGGATAGCCGCTGTTGAAAAATAGTGAGCAGCCAGGCCTATTTAAGTCAAGCAAGTTGAGTGGTATCAAGTCACCCAGAGGTTGTTTCTAGGGCTAGGGTTGTCAACCTCCAGGTGGGTCCTGGATATTTTCCAGAATTACATTTGAGGTCCAAACAACAGAGGTGGGTCCCCCTGGAGAAAATGGCTGCTTTGGATTCTATGGCATTCTATTCAGCTGAGGCCTTTCTGCTCACCAAACCCTGCCCACCTCAAATCCACCACATTATATCAAGAAAATTCCCAACCTGGAACTAACAACCCTAGCCATGCCTGGCCCCCAATGAGTCTTCCCCTCAGAGTCCAAAAATACGTCTGGAAAGGGCCCTTCCCCTTCCCCACATTTTACTCAGAGAAACCCAGCCTGGAATACTGTGGTCACCTAGCAACAGCCACTGAGGGAATTTGTTGCTTAAGGCTACAGATGCACCTTTTATCATTTTTGGGTTTCATAAATGTACTCTTTTTTAGATTTCACATTTTTCTGCAAACCTGGGGCCCTTTTCTGATTTGTATAAAGATCCGTTGTGCCCTGTAGATCTTGGGTGAGAGTTTCACTGTTTGTTGGTGCACATGCACAATTTTTAAAAAAATTTTATAATAAAACTTGTTCTGACAGCGTTCTGAGAGGTCCTTATGCATTTGGAGGGGTATTTGATTAAGAAAATCCATGAATACTGCTTGAGGCGGTAACCACAAAACTCATTAAAGTGTACAATAATTGAACTTCATACTGCAATAAAGGTGAAAGCAGTTGCCCAACTGAAGCCTTCCAAATTCATGCAAGGGTTTTTGTGTGTATGCGGACAACCGATATTAAACAATATTCTGTTTTAGTGTCTTAATATTAACTTGCAAATTTGGCACAATGCACTGCTTGTGTCTTGATTTTAAAATTCTGCTAGTGTAGTGCAAGAAATTGGCCACCCTGTTTTCCCTTTTTTCACTACTTCTCTCTCTATTGTGTGGCTTGCATTAACTGACTGGAAACCTGAACTGAATGTCCATGAGTTGCCTAGCAAAGCACTGAATTAAATTAGTGTAATGCTGATCATTTTAACCTCTTGCCAAAAGGAGCCTTGTCTTCCTGACATTAATCTCCTGGGTGGAGATTAATAGTGTACCCCCCAGGGAGAAATCTCATTTCTTAGCTACAAGGATTTGTCTGATATTTAAATCTGTGACTAAACCTGCCCAGGGGATGGCATGGAAACTTGCTGTGTGGTTTTAAAGTGGGTCACCCCCCCAGTTATTTAGTGGGTGTACTTTGGTGGACAGTGAAGTCTTTGACATTTTAGTTGGATGCAGTATCTGGAGAAGACTGAATCTGGCATTAGTCTAGCCTGCTAGCAGTTTAAGGGGGGGCGTTGTTGCAGTGGGTCTGCAAAGCAGAGAGAGAGAAAGGTGAATATAGTAAGAGAGAACTGCTAATAAAGAACAATATTTAAGGAACAGGTGGTTGTTGGCTACTCCTGATTTCCTCAGCTGTCATCAGCTCTCTGTTGGGTTTTTTTTTTACCTCAGAACACTGAGCTCTGCAGCTGACCAATCAGAGAGTGGGGGGTGCAGAGAGGCAGCTGCCTGGCAGCCTCATAGGAATCAATGTGGGGAGCACATTTTCCCCCTTTTGACCCACTTAGGGGTCAAATTTCTAAAAATCCCTTCTTAGCAAGCACCTATGCCACAGTAGGAGCGCTTCCCCCAAATTTGGTTTCTCTAGGTCCAGTGGTTTGTCCTGGGAGTTGATTTTACGGTGAGGGGACTTTCTTTTTAATATATAGATGGGCAAAGTGTTCCTTTTTGTCTTTCTTTTTGTCAGTGGTTCATTTCTCTGCCTATTGCTATTAACTGTGTAGATTCTACTGTATTATGTATGTGTGTTGTGGTTATTATGTACTGTTTGTACTCTATTTATAAGAACAGCATATGTCACATATAAAGTTTGTTGATTTACTGATGCACAAATACATTTTATGGGAGAATTTGGTGTGAAGAAAGAAAAAGCGGCTTAAACACAAAGAACTGCATATTCATTTCAAATAAGGAAGAAATGAGACTGAAATAAGATTTTTTTCTTGTTGAAACATCAGGAATGAGAAATTTGAAATCACCCCTACTCTTACTAAAGTGTACGTCTTAATTTCTGGAAATCAGACCAGACCAGTACAGCTGAAGAAATGTATAGCGGGAATTCTGCCCTATTTAAATTTGTATCTTTTATGAAGCCTTAATATTTCCTAGTGGAGCTATGTTATAATCAGAAATTTTAAAAGTTATACAGAAAGTTATCCTGCATTGTCCTGAGAAAATTCACATTCAGTGAAAGGGCACTTTACTTTCTAGTATTTTATTAAATACACTTTCACCTGGCCCTTCCTCCAAGGAGCTCATCATTCTCCCTCCTCTGTTTTATCCTCAAAACAATCCTGTGTGGTTGGCAGAGAGTGACAGGCCTAAGGTAATCAAGGGAGCTTCATGGCAGAGTGGGGATTTAAACCCAGGTCTTCTAAACCCTAGCCCAACACTCTAGCCACTCCGCTACCCTGCTTGGTGGCTCACATGCTTGAATGAAACGTTATAGTGACACATTTCTGTCCTCCATGTCACACCGTGATCTAGATAGACTGTGTGTATGTACTGTACTTGTAAAAAGATGATGAGGATCTTGCTTTGGAAACTAATGACTTCTTCTCCCTCCTCCTCCTCCAGTCCTGTGTCAACTGTTTGATCTAATGTAAGCTAAACCACAGTTTCCTATTTTGTTGAGACATGTTCAGAATTAACAGATATGGTTTGTTACAAGTAATGTGAGACCTTTAAGACCAACAAAATTTTATTCAAGGCATAAGCTTTTGTGTGCAAGCACACTTCAGATAGAGTGAAACAGAATTTCCTCAACCATTACATATATGTAGAGAGAGGGTGGGGGCTCTCTTTACCTATATGTAATGGTTGAGGAAATTCTGTTTCACTGTATCTGAGGAAATGTGCTTGCACATGAAAGCTTATACCTTGAATAAAGCTTTGTTGGACTTAAAGGTGCCAGTAGACTCAACTTTGTTCTGCTGCTTCAGGCCAACATGGCTACCCACCTGAATCTACAAGTAATGTGTGCATTCTTTGTTCTGATCCTAGTATCTACATTATGGGTTTGGTCCTGGAGTGGATAAAAAATAATGGAGGAGTTAAGACTATGGACAAACTTGGTGAAATTAAATCCGAAATGATCGATGACATTATTGACAACTCCAATGGATTCTATGTGTAAGCTGCTTTCCTTTTTTCCATTACATTATTTTTATCTTCCTATAAAGTGGCTTATAGTAAGGCATAAATCACTGCCTTCACACTCATCATTTCACACAGTGATGGGACTAAACCTTATAAAATTGCTGCCAAAACTTTTCCAGATGTTAGGACTGTGGGTGATGGGCAAGAAAGCTAATGATCGAAGTGCACGCTTTGATATGTGTGCAAGTAAGAACATGACTTGCTAGCTACAGTAAGGCAAGCAGTGTCAATGATTTGCACATGCAGACTTGAAATACTCTGGAAAACATGCTTTAAATTTTAGCTGAAATACATGATAGAAAGAGGTAATGAAGAGTATTGCCTATGGCTAGATTTTCAAAAAAAAATCCTTCATGTTGAGTAAATGGGAGCTGACATTTTTAAAAATGTGCCAGACTTCCATATAATCTGTGAAATGGCCGGGGATTGACCGAGGAAAGTAAAAACAGGGCAAAATGGCAACTAAGCTGTAGGCAAACTTGCAAAAATTCAGAGTGGAGTTAACAAGCTGCCTTAACACATAATTGCCTTTTCCCAATGTGTGTGTGAAATTTAGCCTTTGGGGGATATTGGAAACCAGTCCACATTCATGTGGTATTTGTTCCTATTCTCACCAAAATTCATGTGAAACAACTCTCCCTTGGGAGCAAAAGTACTTGACTCAGGGGAAATCATGAGTTAGAATCAGCTTTGCTTTTATTTTTAAGTATATTTCGACAGTAAGGATTTTATTTTATTGGTTTGATTGACCTGTTATTGGTTAGACTCTCTAGAAGAGACATTCCTGCATGTTTCCTACACTTTCTTTACACCTTTAACCCTTACCAGAGCCCATTTATGCCATATTTCTGTAGCATAGCCCGCCCCCCATTCTTGCCTTTACCTATACTGGTGATCAGTTCCCTTCATTCACTCAGTTTTTACATTCATTTTACATTTACATTCATTTTACATACATTCTCTCCCCCCCACCATTTTTTTCTCACAACAAACATGTGAGGTATCTTAGGCAGGGGTCATTTCCTGCAGGAGCGCACAGGAGCGAAGCTCCGGCAGTAAAGAGCCCAGGAGGCGGGCACATGCAACAAGCCCCACCCCCTGATCCCAGCAGCCCCAGGCCACGAGGATCATGAGGATCTGCATGTCCCCCCCCTGTAGCTAGCAATCCAAAACAGTCCAATGGAGCCTGAGCAGTGGGTGTTGCCTTCTGACACACTTCCGGTGATGTCAGGGGGTGTGGCATATACAAACCAGTTATGCTAATTAGTTATGCTAATGAGCTCCTGCACCTCTTTTTCTACGAAATGACCCCTGATCTTAGGCTGAGAGAGAGAAAGTGAGCCACAGGTTCCACTGAACTCTCCTGAGCACTGCTGTCATTTGCCTACACTCAGGTGAATCTGATTGGGACTAACTCAGATAAACAGGCACTCCGCTCATGGTATTTTGCCAGTTCAGAATGTACGTAGGAAATTGCTTGTATGAAGGCACCATCTGCATGACAAAAACTAACACTTCAGGGAAAAGGCATCCTCCCTGTTGCATTTTTTTTTGGTCCTGTAGAGAGATGGAGGGGGGATGCTTTCAAAGAAATGTTAACTTCATGTTCATTTCAAAGTAATGTAAACTGGTGAGAGAAATGAACCACACAGTAAAAACCACATTTTGAATGGTCTGTAGATTATAGTATTATTTGCACTCTCATCCTACCTATTTTATAAGATCTAGCTGTGAGGTGTTTTGGAATTAAATCCTAGAGAAACCGCCCACCCCAGGTACCTAATTCAGCTTTTGCCTCTAGCAGGTTTAGGAATTCAAAATGAAAGTAGTGGTCCTTACTGCAGTGAAATTACTGTACTGCTGAGCTCTGGTGTATATCTTATCAGTATGTACTGCTGCAGTTTACAGCTTAGGTGGCAGTATCTGTGCCATGCTTTCGACTGAAGGCAAACTCTTATCTGAAGTAGGGCTGTTTACCTGTGAAATGCCACCTAGGCAAGGAAATGCCTCGTTGGATACACCAAAATGTGACAAGCCTTTCAATGCATGGGGAATCATATCCTGTCTTGCAGAATGCTTCAGACTTTCTGCACCTTTTTCTTCACTTCCATTTCAGTGGAAGTGGCTATGGCAGCAATGCCTCATGCATACATATTAATTTGAATGATGCCAGACGCTAGCCCTGCGGCTGCCAAAATGTAGCAAAAAATTTCAAATGAGTAAAGGTGATAGAGAAGCCTTGTTTTAGCCTACTGTCCAAAATTCTAGTTCTTCATGTTTAAGGGAGTCTTTGCTGATACATGTGAGGGATATTCAAATGTACAAGGTCTGAAGTGCGATAGAAAATTTTATACCATATGATATTTGGAATGTGTAATTTGGCTTAGATATGATCTAATTAGTCATGACATATTGGCTGACACAGTACTATCTGATATATCGCATTTTTAGACTCCACTTTGTGTTCCTCATTGGTTACTTTTGAATGCAAAGTCATGGTTTCATTTATTATCCTGTATCACACTGCTTATTTAAATTGACTTTCCTTGGATCCTGAATTACCTTTTGAGTAGCCTTTGTAACTATAAAGGGAAGCGATAATACACATGGTGTTATTTGGAATCATGTTTTCCACACAGGTTTTATAGTTTTCCGCATTGCTGCTATGGCTGCCCATACAACGCAGCAGCAAACAGGGCTTCAACATGGCAAGTTTCCCTGCCCCAGTCCCTCAGTAGAGGCTGCCCCCTCCCTGTGCCACCAGAGCTTTTCAAGGTATTTTTGCCATGCATGGTTAAGATCTATGGTGTTGCCTATGGATACCAGGTTTAAAGTTGAGGACTTACCTTTCTAAGTTTCCACTCTGTTTTCTTCCAAAACAGTAAAGAAAAACAAGCAGACAGCAAAGTCCCTAGGAGTGTCACAATCATCTTTGTCCCAATTTAAGCAGAGTTCTTTTGTGTGACAGCCCTGGCATCCATATCAAAAGGACTACTACTTTTCTGGCCCCTCGGGGTCTCAGTATCCTACATCTAAGCCATTTACCCCACAACAGGGTTACCATAGGCGTAAAGGTTCCCATCGACCAGCAACCACCCTCTTCCAGAGAGGCAGCTTCATCCCAGAAGGCACCCTTCTGGCTAGGATCGTTGTCTACCCCGGTTAAATTTGGGGACAGGCTCACTCACTTTGCTACAGCCTGGGAGGCTGTTACCTCCGACAAATGGTTTTTGCTCATACTTAGATTTGGTTACAGATAAGAATTTAAATCTATTCCCCTTTGCTCTTTAAGGGGATCCAACCAAGCAGTTTTGGGTCTTGCCCAGACTTTGGCCTCCCTAATTATAAGGGCACTGTCAAGGAGCTTATGGGGTCTCAGGCATCTGAGGGTTTCTTGTCTTGTATGAATGTTTAAGTAGGAAGTCAAAAGGTAACCAGAATAATTGACAAGTTTGGCCTTGGAAAGCAAAATGAAAGCAGGGCAAAGGCTAACAGAGTTTTGTCAAGAGAACATGCTGGTCATAGCGAACATCCTCTTCCAACAACCTAAGAGGTGACTCTACACATGGACATCACCAGATGGGCAACACCGAAATCGGATTGATTATATAATTTGCAGTCAAAGATGGAGAAGCTCTATCCAGTCAGTAAAAACAAGACCTACAGCTGACTGTGGCTCAGATCATTTTTATTTTTTATTTATTTGTTTGTTTATTAGATTTTTATCCCGCACTCTCGCCGAAGCGGCTCAGGGCGGCTTACAACCATTAAAACTAATAAAATTGATACAATCCATCTAAAACAGTCTATAGCAAGAACAATAAAACTACAAATTTACAACAACAATACAATTTACACATGGCGGCGAGCCATATAAAGTGCTATACTGATTGGTCTGGGCTATTGAACGCTTGAAGGAACAGCTCCGTCTTTACCGCTCTGCGGAAATGGTGGAGATCCCGCAGAGTGCGGATTTCGTGTGGGAGCTGGTTCCACCATATTGGTGCAGCCAAGGAGAACGCCCTAGTTCTTGTAGCTGTAGATTAGTAGATCATGAGCTACTAATTGCAAAATTCAGACTTAAACTGAAGAAAGTTGGGAAAACCACTAGGCCATTCAGATTTGACCTAGATCAGATCCCTGATGAATATACAGTGGAGGTGAAGAATAGGTTTAAGGGACTAGATTTGATAGAGTGCCTGAAGAACTATGGACAGAGGTTCATGACATTGTACAGGAGGCAGCAATCACCCCCATCCCAAAGAAAAATAAATGCAAGAAAGCTAAGTGGCTGTCTGATGAGGTTTTACAAATAGCAGAGGAAAGAAGGAAAGTGAAAGGCAAAGGTGAAAAGGAAAGATTTACCCAACTGAAAGCAGATTTCCAGAGAACAGCCAGGAGAGATAAGGAGGCTTTCCTGAATGAACAATGCAAAGTAATAGAAGAAAACAATAGAATGGGAAGGACTAGAGATCTCTTCAAGAAAATTGGAGGAATCAAGGGAATGTTTTGTGCAAAGCTGGCCATGATAAAGGACAAAAATGGTAGGGACCTAACAGAAGCAGAAGAGATTAGGAAGAGATGGCAAGAATACACAGAAGAACTATACAAGAAGGACCTCAATATCCTTCACAATCACAACGGTGTGATCACTGACCTCGAGCCAGACATCGTGGAGTGCGAAGTCAAATGGACCCTAGAAAGCATTACTAACAACAAAGCTAGTTGAGATGATGGTATACCAGCTGAGCTATTCAAAGTCTTAAAAGATGATGCTGTTAAAGTGCTGCACTCAATTTGCCAGAAAATTTTGAAAACGCAACAGTGGCCACAGGATTGGAAAAGGTCAGTATAC